GGGGGGGGGATTACTTCTTTCCACTACAAAATCTTCTTTAATCTTCAATCAATGCCAGCTATACGATGTACGTGATGCCCCAACATAACATGTATTGTGTTGCGTAATGGTGCCAGATATAATTCTGCCAGATATAATTATGAAATTGAACGGCATAGATATGATACTAAATTTTCATCCGAAACAATCAGAAGAGATTATGTAGAAAACAATTCAGCCTATCTTAAATTAGGAACATGATTTATCGCAAAGAATGCAAGCGTTTTCTCTATACAGTACTTTTAAATGTTGAATTACACAATTAAATATTTTTGGATTAACATGCGAACAAGGAATTAAGAAGTTGAAATAAAAAACTATCAAATATTAGACCTAATCAGCTGATGAAAAATTTAATTTGCAATTACTGTCAATCTGATTGAAAATTAATTTCAATACTGAAAAATATATAATTGCTAAATCGCAGTTATGTTCAATACGCCGAATAATCTACTAACGCAGACTTTATTGAAACGCCGAACAGTTATTTTAAAAAGCACCGAAAATACCAATACCTGAATAATACTGCCGTCAGCGTCTCTAACTGACAAGTCGTAACTGACCACAAGCGCTTCTAAGTGCTTGACTAAGCAACGCTGCAAATAGCCGCTACGGCTGGTTTTCACGGCTGTATCAATGAGACCCTAGACACAGAATTAAAGATATACAGGATCAGTCGAAATGCAACAAATTGTGCTAATCTCACTTATACTTAAATTGATCAAAAAGAGAATTCAAATAAAGAAGAAACGAAGGTGACAAAAACTGATTATTTTAATTGCCTATGCATAAAGACAGACATCGATCTTATCGGTTAACAAGTATGATGCTAGTTTTAAAGATCAGTTTTAATTTTTATGTATATGCTTATGGAGATACAGCATATCGGCGGGTGTGAGAACAGGACGATTCTGTTCCGTGCCCACTGATGCGGTTTTGCATTCATGCACTGCAGATGGGTAGGCTCTATGGACTATATCTGAAGGCGTCAGGTGCTGCAGGGATATAGCCGTTGGTCCGCTATTCAGTCGCTTAAATCTGAATTTGTGAAAAGTCTATCTTTCGAGTCTCTCCTCTGGCATTATTTCATTAGTCCAAACTATGACAACTGTGATTTCTGTATCTGGTAAAGTAAGGGCTCATTCCGTTAAACTATTAAATTTAAAAGCTAAATTTCGACAAAAAACTATTTTTACACCTAAGTCACTCCATACCTGTCGGCTTAAATGTTTGAAGAATGGAAAGGTGAAGGCTAGCAACTAAGGAACCTGCGAGATTTCCCACAAAAGCTGAAACACAAACACATTCGTGTTGTTCTGCCGCAATAGCAGTAAACGCTGTGACAACGCAGCGCCTATGTGTCAAAAAAACTGCCAAAACTTCTTGGACCTTCGTCTGCAGTTTCTTTCCTACAATAAACCCATAAATGTTGAGATTAAGATTTACAGAAATTTCAAGCAACTCAGCCCATTGGGGACTTGTGTTCTAATATCACTTTCGATTTCGCAATAGCCTAATTACTAGTCAACTAAAACTAGTACAGCCTTCATTCCTCAAAGTATTTTATGGTCTACTTAGATTTTTCAGCAATTTTTTAAAATGTTCAGGTAAACAGCTGATAGTCTTTGCTTGTCATAACGAAGATGCTGCTACAATAACTTTGAAGAAAAGCCGTGATTGCCATCCATGTCAAATACAGTACCTCTCTTCCAGCGATACAGTGAAAAAAGAACTCCTGCGGAGAGATACCGCTTAGGAATCGTTGCGCAATGAAACCGCCAGCTCGAGGCGACATATCAAACTTTTTGAACGATGGCAGAGTCCGACCTGAAACCGATGGTCTGACTCTAGCACCCTCCAGCTCAACCTGCCCCAACATGCAAGACATCTGCACAGAATTCACCTGAAAACACAATTATGCATCGAAGGCAGAATCATCGTAATATTCAATTTGTACCGTCGTTCCTTTCGAACCACTCTGAATCATCAACAGAAGACTGTTAGAAGGAAACGGCCTTAGCAGCCCGTGCGGTAACGTAGCCCTAAACAGTCGAGCATGAGCTATTATACAACAGAGAAACGGCAAGAACAAATCTATAGCGTAAAACACCAGAGCCAAACGTTTTAAAGCAAAGTCGAGTAAACACAAAATAAAAAAACATATTCCTGCATTAAGCCGTGAAAGCAAAGAAAAATTGGCACTTGAAGATCACTTTCGAAGGATAGACGTAATAGTGAACATCAGAAAACATTTTCTTCGGATCTTGGAAATGATCGCAGGCCTGAAAATGCTGCCTGAAAAAATCAAAGACCAGCATACGTCGCAGTTTGAAAGAACCTTGCAAAGCAAGAATGGAGCCCAATTCAAAACTATTCTTGTCCAATAAGTGAAGAAAGATTGAAGACGCTTCGAAATCCAATACGGCTTTTAAAGCAGCTGTTAAAAAAGACTCGTTTGCGACAAGGAATATGACCTTTGTCGCAGTAATCGACTTCGTCTAATCCACTTTGAGAAGCGAAAACATAAGATATCATTCATCTGGATACTCAGTCTTCGATATCGCGGATGACGATGACAACAACAAAGAGCAATAACGAATCAGCTGGAGCTGAGGGCGCATCATAAACTTTACAAGCAGTACTGCTACATGCTAAAGACAGCAATGAAAAAAAAATGAAAAATGAAAACAGAGGTTTACCGCTTGAACAAGTTCGCTAGCGAACCATGATTCATTTTCAGCATTTTACGACTAATTCATTTCAAGCAAAATATAAGCATAAAGTAATAGTATTAAACAAAATCAAAAATAAAACGAATAAAAAATCTCCCAAAATTCACAGCAGATTCAGTGCCAAAACTCAACAAAAACGTTTTCTGACACAATGGTCAAAGGCGTGAGGACGAGTCGAAAACGTAGTTGGACTGACGTTCCGAACATGCCACAGCGTCCATTATCAAGACCACAAATTACACGAAGCCCTGGTGATGAACACTGTGGCGTGTTCGGCGGGTAAATCCACAAAATTTACCCAGTCTTTCTACTCGTCTTTAAGCATGGCATCGGAAGACGTTTTGTCATTAAGACTTCTTACTAGAAATTTAAAAAAACTTGTAAAAACTAATTTTTAAGTCGAATGTTTGAATTTAGCAGTTACACATTGTAATGATTTAGTCAGCTGTTAGGTGAATCAATGTGAACTGCAGTCACAATGCTCAACCGTCAGATAGCATTGCTGCAAGTCGTTTCACTTTCTGGTCTTATCACAGAATAACTGCATGCTATCCCTGCTGTTCACATATCAACCGTGTTCTACCCGTTTTTTAGATGGGTGCACAATAGTTATATGAGACGAATTCCATGCTCAAAGCAATAAGAAAAATTTACGCAGCCTAATGTGCAAAGTCAACACCTGTTAACGATGTTGTTCAGCCTGTCGGTGGCTACCTTCATGCAGTAATCCAAATGCTTGACGTCGTTGTCGGAATTTTCCTTGCTGTGGATGCTTCTCAGGGCATTCCGCAAAGTCTCCTCATCGTTGGTCTGCAAATCGAAAGCCTCCTTGACTACGCTGCTCCCGCAGCGGTTAAGTTTCATGATAATCTTGCGACGAACTTCGTCCGCCTATAATTAAAAAATTCGAAATTGAAAAAAGCTACAATTTGATAATCAGCAGTGTTAGGCGCATTGTACAACGACTAAAATCGGCTGCCTAGCTTGAGTACGCGGTCCTCCCATCTATGAATTCGTAATCTTCTTTGGGATGTTAACAAGAAGGCGACGCCAAGACCCTGCGAATGTACACAGCTGCTGTGAAAAAGCGCAGCCGTACAGATATGCTGCCATCTGTGTAAGCTGAAAGATGGCTTTTTCTCTGAAGTGAAAAAATACTGGTTATCTAAAATTAAATATCAATTTTTGAAACTGTCTTTGATCAATTGTCAGTTTAGTACTGAGCCTTTTTCTTCTACAGCGAATGAAGAGGAGACTAAGAAAAGCTGGATGGCCTAGTTATACAACCTAGTTAAGCACACAACTCGTTTGTTTCAGCCTACGACGTCGAATTTCTCATGTGAGAGCCGAAACGCGGTGGACTTCGACCAGCAAGGTAGCGTGAAAATGGAATAATAAGGCAAAAAAGGAGATATGATTTAGAGAGGAATATTTCCTTCTACGATGGAGGTGATCCTTATATAACCGGTACTTTATAGCAGAAGTGTTGCAGAGCTGTGAATACATCGAACATCAGGAACTAGAACTGTTCTGTTTACGTAAAAGGTTCAAGATAATAAATTCAACTAACACTAACACAACAGATGTCAGCAACTCGAGCAAAAAATAAGAGTGACTGCCTATCGACAGAATATAACGGCTTACAGCATGAGAAACTGAAATTCTTCCAGCGATGTTCATGACGACCTGATGAATAATGCGCACCTATGATCTTGTCACTGATTTTTTCCACCACCCTGTCGCACTACACAGGAACTCTGATCTGCCAACTCTTCCTTCTGCAAATATCATGCAGAATTCCAAAAGTCAGAGGCGGCATCATAATATCTGGTGATAAGACCATCAAGCAAAATCAGGTCACTACCGCGCTCATTTACGTAAAATTTATGCTTGACAGAACCGTAACCGTAAATGCACTGTTCGACTTTGCGGTCCAGCTAGGCTATGAACAGAGGCTAGTGCCGACGGTTACCTCACAGTAGCAATGATCATTCGTAAATATTAAAGCTACTATTTTTTCTGAGTTCCCTAAGGAAGAATATTACACATAAATGAAACCTGAAACCTTCTGTGACTCCGTTTTCAAATAAGGGGGAATATCAGTTCAGCACTGATACAATGCTGGAGCAAAAAAGGATAGACTGTCAGTAAAGCGGTATCAATATCGACAAAATACAGTGAGTGCAAGCATTAGAACGAAAGGCTGAAAGGGAAAGAACAAATTCTCCTTCTCGAATGAATAAAATACTTTAATACATATACAACATCTAAGGTGCAATAAAGACCAGACTTTGACTAAAGCCAATTCTACAAATTTCATTTCATTTCAGACGGCATGTTAGTATGTTAGCGGCATGTTGTCTGCGGGCAATTCAGTGCAAACATCTTATCACCGTTACCTCGGTCCCATGAATGACTTTCATAAATAACTAGATGCAAAGACGCGAAGAAGAAGAACGTCATATACGCAACATTAACAAAGCGACTGGATCGAGTGGTACCTTCTCAGAAACCAGTACATCTTCTATGCCCAACGTAAAGCCATGCTGTTGGAGATAAGTGGTAAACAGACGAGAGAAGCAGGACAGCAAGTGACAAGCAGCACGAGGCCCGTACAACTGAAAAACAAGAAAGTGAATTCGACGAGCGAGCAAAGATTTATAAACGAACTTCATAAACACAGTGAACCAAACCATAAGGATTAGCCCCGTATTGGGCTTTATCCAAAACGCCACACATCAATTCTCCACTACGAATGTACACGCAACTTTCGCTCAAATCGAACTCAGGCACTTCATGTCCACTCACTTGCCAGCTCTGAAACGCTGAACAGTGATTAAATAGAATAAGCAGCATCAGTGATTCCAAATCAGCAATAAAAAACCGATTAAATTAACAAAAATATTTATAAGCATCAGATTTTAATATTTCAGCAAGAATTACAGCAATAATGGCAGATATAAAACTCATATCGACTAAAAATTGATTACTTGAGAGAATCTTAAATAAAAACAGAATATCAAACTACTATATAAGTAAAATATTTGATATTACCACAGTTCACACCTGAACACAGTTTATCGTATTAAACAACCAAAATGATGAGCATTTTTTAAGCGGTTGGCATATCCCATACAAACGAAACACCGAAACCCATCATCAATATCTGTATTTAGCTGTAAAATCCCTGATCAGCCTCAGCAGCGGCGGCAAAACTAGTGTGGCTGAA